CTATATATATATATATATATATATATATATATATATATATGTATGTATATATATATATAGTTTAAGGTTCATAATATGAATTATATTTTAATCTCTCTAATTAATTTAATTATTAGCAGATTCCCATAGTGAAAGTGAGAAGACATTTGCACTTATCATTGGATTATTAGCTGGGGTTGCTATTCTCATCATTTTCTTAACTTTCATGAGAAGAATATGTGGAAGAAATGGTAAATTTAATTACTTTCTTACCCTCATTTTTATATCTTTTTTTTTCACTTACTAATAAAATTGTAAATAATTGTTTTTTTTGCAGGTAAATAATAAATTGTAAATGAATTCTACAAATTTGATATGCTTTTGCTGGCCTTTTACTTCATGGTTTACATCAACTTGTCCTTCTCTTTTCTTTTTATGTATTTTTAGTCTTTTTAGGAAGAGATTTATTTTATATTATTTTTCATTGAAAAGGAGATTTCCAAGTGAAGATGAGCTTTTAGCAATGTGTAATATCAAAAAATAAAATGAAAAAATGAAAAAGAAAATAAAAGTAAAAGCCTAAGATTCCACTCTTCACTTTGATGTAAAGAAATTTGCTTTTGCTTTTTGTGAATGTTGTTCTAATTGGATATAAAACATATGTGAATGTTGCATTTTGTTATTTAAGCACTTACTTTGTTCCTTTTTAACCGTGGCTCGAAAAATAATAATTGTTTTTAACTATATCTTTGATGTTAAAAAAAATATCGTGAAAAGGAGCTAAAACGCATAAAATGAGGAGGAAGTAATAATATGAGCAATGACGGATCCTAGATTTTTCATTAAGAGAGTTTGAGAAAATAAATGTAGTGCTTAAAATTTGATTCTGGAAGGAGAATTATGAACTCCTCAACCACTAAACTACGCTCTAATGATTAGAGTCTAATCTTACATTCAAAAGGTTCAAAATCAATATACAAACATAAATATTTTTAAAAACACTTTATATATATATATATAGAGAGAGGGAGTGTAATTTTTTACCAAAGAAATTCGAATAAACCCCTTGGATACCTCTAGCTTCGCCCCTGAACATGAGGTAGGTTTCCTTGTCATCAACTAGCTTAAATTAATTCTTTTACTTATTTTCTAAAAAAAAATAATTGACTTTGTTTGGGACAAATTTAAAAGGTAACTTTTGCATTTTCCCAAAACTTTATTTTGATATATTACCAATTACTTACTTTTAAGTCCATTCATCCCAATGTATGTATAAATTTGCATAAATGAGCCTTCTAAAAGGAACATAATGTGGCTTGAATTTCTCCAATAATATTACTATTACCCTACTTTGGAAGTGCTAAAAATGTATAGCAAACTAAAGAGGTCATCTTATTTGTCTCCAATAAAATATTGGACCACAAAAATTATAAAATCTAGACAAGTTCGAATTAATCAAAAAAAATATAGTTGATTATTTAACGGGCAAAATATTTTTTATTCTGGCTAAATAATAATCTACTTTATGATTGTAATTATATTTTCATCTACTAGTAAATAACACATACGATGATTGATAATATTAGTGGACGACATGTTAGTATCTTTTGAATAAAGTGATTTAATATTCTTTTATCATGTCACATATAAAGGTGAAGGGAATATAATGAATCACTCTTGTATATTCTCCCTTTAATTGTATGCATGTTCATGAAACTTTTTTCCAAAACTTATAGACCAAGAATTAAATCATGAAATTAATGGCAAAAACAAAATGCATACATATATAGAAATGGCTTTTACATCAATCATGTATAGGTAGAAAAAAAGTCATCATTTTTATTCTTGGACAAATTCAGCAAGCATTCAAAGGCGCACTGAAGTTTTTTTTTTAAAAAAAGACACTACGAACATGTTAGACGAAGTCAAAATTTCAAGTTTTTAAATTTATGAGTATTTGAATATCAAGCATTACTATTTGAATTCTAGATTTAGTATGTTTACATATATAATTAGGATAATGTCCAAGTACCCCCTCAACTTATGTCCGAAATTCCAGAGACACACTTATACTATACTAAGGTCCTATTACCCCTCTGAACTTATTTTATCAATAATTTTTTACCCCTTTTCGGCCCACGTGGCACTATCTTGTGGGTCCAACGATGGTTGACTTTTTTTTTCAAACTAGTGCCACGTAGGCAAAAAAGGGGTAGAAAATTACTTATAAAATAAGTTCAGGAGGTAATAGAACCTTAGTATAGTATAAGTGTGTCTCTGGGATTTTGGGCATAGATTGAGGGGGTACTTGGATATTTTTTCTATATAATTAGTGAAAAATTATACTTTTGTTTTTCAGAATGATTTCTATTGTTTCCTTTTTGCCCTAAGCCATTGAATTAATACTAAAAAGACATAAATTCTTTTAGGACGTAAGACATAATTTATGGTATATTATGATTAACTTATGGTATATTATAATGCGAGAAAATAAATTTGTGCCTCGTAAAATAACTATTTGTCTTGAGGAACAAAAATTAAAAACCAATATAAAGTAGGATCAAAAGTGCAAATTACCCTTTATTAGATTCTCCAATAGCAAAAAAAATATATATATATCTAGTGAAATCTCACTAAATAGCGTCTGGTAAGAATAAAGTGTAAATAGACATTATTATTACCTCGTGGGGATAGGAAAATTGTCTTCAAAAAACCCTCAGCTCACGTGCATCAAACCAAGCAAGTAATTAATAAGAAAAACAATATAAAGTCTACGAGAAAGAGCAATATCAAAACACAATAAACGACATACAATCAGAATTGTGAGTGTAAACAACTAGTACAATCGACACACACTAACAAGCCTAAATCCTCGCAAGGCAAGACAACACTGTACCCCTAATACTAACCTTCTACCATAATACGCAACATACACTTTTTTCTAGAATCATGTGCTCGTAAATATGAAGTTACACGGTTACCCCGGAAATTATATTGGGCCATTCTGAGAAAGACTTTTTAAGTCCATTGGGCCTAGCCCAGTCCAACTTAAAGCCCATTACTTATTCCTTCACATCAAAAAATTTCCACCTTCCAAATTCATCAATTCATCACTTTCCATTTTGATCTCACAGTTCTCTTCCACATCAATGGCGTTGGAATGGGTTGTTCTCGGCTACGCCGCCGGAGCCGAAGCCATCATGCTGCTTCTATTAACGGTTCCGGGTCTTAACCCGCTTCGAAAAGGGCTAATTTCCGTGACCCGGAATCTCCTCAAGCCATTTCTCTCCATTGTTCCCTTTTGCCTCTTTCTCTTAATGGATATCTACTGGAAATACGAGACCCGACCCACTTGTGAATCCGAATCGTGTTCTCCATCGGAGTACCTTCGTCATCAGAAATCAATCATGAAATCGCAGCGTAATGCGCTTCTAATCGCCTGTGCGCTGGTGTTCTATTGGTTATTATACTCTGTTACTGGCCTTGTTGTGAAAGTTGAACAGCTGAATAAGCGGGTGGAGAAGATGAAGGCTTCGGATTGATCCGATTCGATCTGATTTTGATGGATCCGGGTATGTGGGTTTTTTTGGGTTTTCGGGTCGGGTTGCTTTATTTGGATTTTATTTTTGAGTTGTTGATGTTATAAGACATGAAAAAGCTACTTTTACTATCTAATTTTTTGTTTAAAAGGTATTGTGTGGTTCTTCGATTTTTATTAGTATATGTTGATTTCTCATAGCTTGACTATTGTATTGTTTTGTTACTATATTTTGTTTTTTGTATTGTTTTGCGCGGTTTTTCATTGGGCCGAGGGCCTGTTGGTAACAATTTCTCTTAACCTTGAAGTAAGGATAATGTTTGCATACGCTCTAACCTGTCTGAACTCTATTTCTGAGATTACACTAGGTAAATTTTTATTGTTATCAGTCGAACAATGAATGAATATATCTAATTGGAGTAAAAATATAATATTGAGGATTCAAATAGCCGACTCCGATGATTAAGTAGTATTTGTTGTGTTAATCATAGTGTACTTGTTTGGTGTTGCAGGATAAGATATGATTAGAAAGTGTTGAATTAGAATAGTAGTTTATTTTTGCAAATCTTTAGGATTTGGTATTAAATTTTAGACTATAAAATGCTAAATTTATGGTTTTTAAGCTATGCAATGAGAATTTTATGTATAACTTTTTAGTTCGTAATATCTGATTTAGTTGGGCTTTAATGTTTATCATGAATAAATCATTGTTCATGAAAATAAAATAAAATAGAAATAGTAGTTCTTCTGTTCCTTCTTATGTGACATCCTTTGATTAGACATAACATTTAAGAAAAAAGAGTACTTTTGAAACTTATGATCGAAAATAACCGTTAGATTTTTGTGTAGCTGAGATTTATTTCATGAAAGGTAAAACAAAAAATTTAAAGTCGAACTATTTTTAGTTATAGTAAAGTGACATCTCTTTTGGAATAGACCAAAAAAAAAAAGTGTTACATAAAATTAGACAGATGAAGTGTTAATTTTCATAATATTTGACCAGATAATCACCTGTTAGTTTTTATAAAAACAAATAATACAACCTTTAAACTAATGTGTTCCAAGTAACTAATTAATGCTTTGATTAAACTGATGGTGAAAATTATATATCAATCAGATAAGACATTAGTATTTTTTAAACTATGATTGAAATTTTAGAAACACATTTTAACTAAACTAAGGTCATATTATCCTCTCCGCTGAACATACGAAGGTTTGGTCTAGTCTATTTTTCTCATATGTGCCCTTCTTAAAACTAAAGTAGTGTTGGTGTCACCTAATATATCTCAATATAGAAAGGACAACTTAGGGCCCGTTTGGATGGGCTTAATAAAAGCAGCTTTAAAAAAGTATTTTTAAAAGTGCCGAAACTTATTTTTAAAATAAGCAGTTATGCGTTTGGATAAAAGTGCTGAAGTTGTTATGTCAAACGTGAAAAGGGAAAAATGGAAGAAAGAAATGTTAGGGTTATATGGGTAATTTGGAGATTGTATAAAAATATTAAGCACAAAAAGATAAAAATGTGGTCAACTTAAAACAGTTTATAAGCTAAAAAAAAAAAGCACCCCTACCCCAGCTTTTAACTTTTGGCTTAAAATAAGTTTTTTAAACTTAAAATAAGCTGTTTTGAGTATTACCAAACAGCTAAATAAGTCAAAAACCAGCTTTTAAGTCAGTTTGACCAGCTTTTAAGCTGAGCCAAACAGGCTCTTAGTCTTTACTTCTATCAAGTTGTTGTGCTAAAAAAATTGTAGGAAGAGTTTGAAGCTCTTGTACTAGCTCCCACATGTAGTTGTGCTAAGTCAAAGGAGTATGTGTTGCATCTGCAGCAGTTGAAGTTGTTTCAATTCTTAATAGGCTTGAATGAATCCTACATTCAGACAAGAATACAAATATTGATGATGAGTCCAACACCAGCAATTAATCATGTTTATTCAATGGTAGTGAGTGATGAAAGCCAAAAAAATGTAGCAGCCAATGCTGGTATTCTAAGGAACAATCTAATGAGTTGAATGTTAGGAGCGAAATAAGTAGGTATTATGCGGAAACTATTAAAGCAAATCTCCAAAACTATGAGTATGAAGACAAACGAGAAATACACAAAAATTTAACATTGTTCTGTCAATCGATCTATATTAACAAA